AGTTTGCCATAGATTTAGTACCTGGTACTAGTCCTATGTTGATGGAGCCATATAGAATGTCTGCTTCAAATTTGAGTGAGTTGAAGAAAAATTTAGTGGATATGCTTGAGAAGAAGTATGTTTGTCCGAGTATTTCACCATGGAGAGTGCCTGTGTTGCTAGTCAAGAAAAAATATGGTAGAATGAGGTTGTGTGTTGATTACCGACAACTAAATAAAGTTAGAATCAAGAACAAGTATCCTCTTCTTATGATTGATGATTTGATATATCAGTTGGTTGGTGCTAGCATGTTCAATAAGAGTGATACACGGTCGGGTTACCATAAGATTCTGTAAAACCAGAAGATATTTTGAAGACTGTGTTCAGGATAAGATATGAAAATTATGAGTATTTTGTAATGTCGTTCATAGTTTCTAACACGCATGGTCTATTTATGGAGTATATGAATAGTATTTTCCATCCTTATCTAGATTATTTTCTGGTTGTATTCATCTATGATATCTTGGTGTATTCAAAGTCTGATGAAGAGCATGCAAAACATCTAAGGGTTGTGTTGCAGACTTTTCAAGAGAAGGAAAAGTTGTCTAAGTGTGAGTTTTGGTTGAATGAGGTAAGTTTTCTCAAGCATGTGATTTCTAGTGGTGGTATTAATGTTGATCCGTCGAAGGTTGATGTCGTGTTGCAGTGGGAAACTCCTAAGTCTACTACGGAGATCAAAAGTTTTCTGGGTTTGGCTGGTTATTATGGGAGGTTCATCAAAGGATTTTTGAAGTTAGCATTGCATTTGACTCAGTTGACTCGAAATGACTGAGCTTTTGTTTGGGATTTGAAGTGTGTGGAGAGTTTTTAAGAACTCAAGGGGAAATTGACGCATGCTATAGTTTTTATTTATTCAATCCGAGCAAATCCTTTGTGGTGTATTGTGATGATTCTAATACGGGTCTATGTGGTATGTTAATGAAAAATGATCAGGTGTTGGCTGATGTGTGGAGGCAACTGAAGGTTTATAAGAGGTGTTATCCTACGCATGATTTAGAGTTTCCAGTTGTAGTGTTTGTGCTTAAAGTTTAGAGACATTATCTGTTTGGCTCCAGATTTGAAGTGTTTAGCGACCATAATATTTTGATGTATCTATTTGATCAGAAATAATTAAATATGAGGCAGAGGAGATGGCTTGAATTTCTGAAGGATTGTGATTTTAGTTTGAGTTACCATCCTGGTAAAGCTAGTGTTGTGGCAGATGCCTTGAGTAGGAAATCTCTGCATATGTCGACGCTTATGGTTCAAGAATTGGAGTTGATTGAGAAATTAAGAGATCTTAGTCTGGTGTATGAAAAGACTTCTAACAGTGTGAAGTTAGGCATGTTGAAGCTGATTAGTGATATTCTTGAAGAGATTATAGAAGGTTAGAAGAACGACCCAAGCTTGATTGACCGGTTGGTGCTAATCAATTAAGATTAAGGTGATGACTTCAAGGTCGACATAAATGGTGTGATGAGATTTAAAGACAAAGTTTGTATTCCATATGTACTAGAACTTAAGAGAGTATTCTCGAGGAAGATTATAAAAATGGTATGAGTATTCATCCTAGTGCTACTAAAATGTATCAAGATTTGAGGAAGATGTTTTGGTGCCCAGGATGAAGAAGGAAGTAACTGAGTTAGTTTTTATGCCTGATTGATTTGTCAAAAGTTGAAGATTAAACACCAGAAGCCATCGAGCATAATGCAATTGTTGAGTATTCCCGATTGGAAGTGGGACAACATTTATATGGATTTTGTGACGAATTTGACGAAGACGATGAAGGGATATGATTCTATTTGGGTTATTGTTGATAGACTGACTAAGATCATTTCATTCCGATTAATACTAGTTATCTTTTGTAGAAGTTAGTCGAGTTGTATATCGAGAAGATTGTCAATTTTATGACATTCCTTTGAATATCGTGTCAAATAGAAATCTGAGATGGCCATAGGGGTTTTGACAAAGTTTGCAGGAAGATTTAGATACTAAGTTGCGGTTGAGTTTTGTCTATCATCCATAAACAGACGATCAAACATAAAGGAATATCCAATCCTTGGAAGACCTATTGAGGGTTTATGTGCTAGAATAATGAGGTGTTTGGAATAACTACTCGCCATGGATTGAGTTCACTTATAAAAACAATTTCTATTTAAGTATTGGAATGGCACCATTTGAGGCGTTATATGGAAGGAGGTGTAAAACTCCTTTATGTTGGTATTGATCAGGTGAAAGTGTTGTGCTTGGACATGAGATTCAGCAGCAAACCTCTGAGAAGATTAGGATAATCCAAGAGAATATGAAAGCTTCGCAGAGTCACCAGAAGAGTTACCATGATAAAAGGAGGAAAACACTTTAGTTCCAAGAGGGAGACCATGTATTTTTGAGAGTTACTCCAATAACTGGTATTGGCCGAGCGTTGAAATCTCAAAAACTCACACCCTGCTTCATTGATTCATATCAGAACCTCTAGAGAGTTGGAGATGTCGCATACAAAGTTGAATTACTGTTGTTTCTTTCAAATCTTCATGATGTTTTTCATGTGTCTCAGTTATGAAAGTACATTTCTGGTTTGTCTCATGTGATTCAAGTGGACGATGTTCAAGTTAGAGAGAATTTGATTGTTGAGGCATCACCCTTGAGAGTAGAGGGTTGCAAAGTAAACCGCTTGGAGAGACAAAGAGATTGCGTTGGAAAAGGTAATGTGGGGAGGACTTGCTAGTGGAAACATGACGTAAAAGCTAAAGAGTCAGATGGGAGAGTCGTACCGACTATGTTCACTTCAAATAAATTTTCGAGGGCAAAAATTCTGTAAGTGAGAGAGAGTTGTAATACTATGTTTTTCATAATTCTTTTAATCGACTCAATAATTGCTTTGTTTATTTATTTGGTGGTTTAATTAATTATTTTAACGATATGATGTGCTATATAATATTATGGGGATTATTGGAGGTTATAATGATTTTAGTTGATTTAAAATAATAAAATAATATTAAATAAATAGAAAAATAGAGGTTTTGGGTCTAAAATAGAAAACATGAGAATTATGGGGTAAGTGGTGATAACTAAAAAGTGAATTGGGCCAAGGTGTAATTATCAAAAGATTATATTAGGTTTTGGTTAAATTAGAAATTAGCGGGAGCCACAACTCGACACTACATGAAGTTGGAGAGAATTAGAAAAAAGAGGCAAAGTGAGAAAGAGGCAAGAACAAAGGTTTTGGGAGAAGGAGGAATTTGTTGTTCAGTTTGGTGTGCTCTGGTTCGATGGTGTGGATCGGGAGCAAGCAACTAATTTCAGTGAAGGATTAGTGAAGTGTTACTATAAAGTGATTAGTAGCGATTTTGATGTGCTCTGATTCTAAGAGGGAATCAAGAGCGAATATGGATCGATGTTGTTCATAAGTGGTGCCACATGCATATAAGGTATGATTGGAAGAATAGAAATAGCAGAGAGAGAGAGAGAGAGAGAGAGAGAGAGAGAGAGAGAGAGAGAGAGAGAGAGAGAGAGAGAGAGAGAGAGAGAGAGAGAGAGAGAGAGAGAGAGAGAGAGTCTACATTTATGCTGATTGACACATGAGAGAGAGAGAGAGAGAGTCTACATTTATGTTGATTGGCACATGAGAGAGGGAGAGAGAGAGAGAGAACAAATAAGCATGAGACCCATATGTTTTTTATTCTCTCCAAATCAGCGAAGAAATGGGGGAGAGTATTAATATTCAACTTTTTCCTTTCTCGTCCTTTCTCTCAAATAAATATTTCTTTTATTAAAAGAATATTTGTGTCTTTTTAAAATTAAACACACTTCTCTCTCACCTATTTCTCTTCTCTTTCTCTAAAACCAATCAATACCTCAAATCTACACTATTTCTCTTATCTTTCTCTCTTATAACTCTCTCTCACTTATTTCTCTCTTCTTAATTTCTTCTCACAACCAATCAGACCCATAGAGTCATTTGAGGAGTACATTTGCATATGTAATAGTTTATTATCGGTGTTATTGATTGGTTGATATTATATGATGTGATTGGTGATTTGTTGCGATTAGCGTGCGTGCGTGATGATTATGTGAATTATCCTACCCTTCCTTTGTTTTGCACCACTAATATATTTTAAATGTATTCTCACATCTTTTTGTTTATTTGTGATGTCCGACTCATGTGGACTACATGCAAGTAGGATAAGGAGTAACTGCTTGAGGTAAAGGACGACTATGTCTCCTTAATTGCTTATTCACTCGAGTCTTAGTGGAGTTGTTCTGATATATAATATTGGAGGAACATGTTCTTCTTTATTTTATTTCCGATCTTTGTGTTATTTCAAAGTTGTTAAGCCTTTTTTTAGTGTTTCCATGATTAATGAGACTATGATGTCAAACATATTCATTTTCCAATGCATATTTCAAAAAAAAATATTTGATTTGGTGTTTGTCTTGATTGGTGGATCACGAGTAACACTCTAATTATGGAGTTAATTGTTGAATTATTGTAAATTATGTTGAGTCGAGAATTATGGTGTTACAATGTCCTTCCGTCATCTTACTCGTATAGGTTGTATCTCAGTCTTCTCGATTTATCAATTTATGTTAGGGATGCAAACCCCCAATCTTGTGGTGCAATATATATATATTAAATCCAAAAGAAATCCAAGGTTTTGCTTGCAACCGTTCAATATCACCAGCCGCGATAACAGTGCAGTTATATATAGAGAAGAAAAAAGTAAGAAAAACTTAAAGTCAAACTCATAACCCATTCAATTTTAGACACATGATGATAACGCCATTACATTTCAGTTCATAATATTAATAACTACGCCAAACAACATTGATTCACGAGTACAAGAAGCGGGGAAATATTTCAATTCTTGGTAGGTAGAAACTGTAGCTACTGAAGTCAACAAAGACTTGATTAATCACACAATTATCGTTGATCTATTGATTAGGGTTTTGAAACAGCTTCCATTCAACGCTATTTCAAAACCATGGCGAAATCAAAGTTACGTTCACAGGGGAAGAAATTATCGACGGTTACGCTGATTTTCTGGACTCTTTTCATGCTTACACTAGTCATTATCTTCCTCCTTGCGCTCGGAATTGTTTATCTTCCAAATACAAGCGACGATTCTTCTTCAACCACAGATCTCAGTTCCTTCAGACGCAAAAACTCTGAAAGGTGATTTGATTTGATTTGATTAGTTTCATTTTCTTACTCTGTTTGATTCTGATTTGAAATGTGTTTAATCTTTCGTATTTAGTATATTTCGTGATTGCTGCTTCTGAATTGGTTTCAGTTTGGCGGAAAGGAAGGAGCAGTGGACTGAGATTCTTTCTTGGGAGCCGAGAGCTTTCATCTATCACAATTTTCTGGTCAGTTTTTGTCATCATCTCGTGGATCTGTAATAATGTATCACAACAGTGCTCATTGATTGTGAATTTAGCTTTTCAATCTATTAGATCAGTTAAGGAAAAATGTTTATATGGATGATTAAGTTCTTCAAGGATTGGATAGAGTAATTCAATTATGATATATTTGTTTTTTAACCTTTTAGATCAGTTGGCGAATAAATGTTAATATGGATGATTAAGATCTTCAAGTATTGATTGAATAGAGTAGGGTCATTCAAAAAAACTGTGAACAGAACCGCCGAATCGAACTGAAGTTAAAATAACCGAAACAATTCTCGAACCGAACCATATATCAAATAAACCAAACCGAAACTGAAAATGAAAAATTACTAAAAACAAGTTTTAAAATTTAAAAAAAAAAATCGAAAAAATAGTTTAACAATTTGGTTCTTTAACAAATAGTCCGGTTTGAGAAAAATTGTCTTCTAATGGCTCGGGATTTCAAAACGGTATACCACACCGATAATTTCAGTTCGGTTTGGTTCTGAGGAAATTGAAACGGTCCGGTTCGGCTTGAGTGAACTTTTGCTATGGTTTGGTTCAGTTTTTTAACTGAACTGTACCATGAACTGTCCTAACTATAATTTAATTATGATATAAAATTGCACATGTGATGTCTATAAGCATAGGCTAGGCTCATGGAAAACTAAATTATAGTATGAAGATAGAAAAAAATTTAGGTATTCATATATACATGGAATATTCAGATTTCGGTAAACTTGAACTTTCTGAAAGACTCTAGATTTTAGTGAAAGATCTTACTCTTTTTTTGTTTTTGAACCGAAAGCGTTATTAGTTTACTTCTTTGAATATTTGTTCCAGTAAACTGTTGGAACTTATATTGTTTTGAAATTTCCATTCTACCTATCATTTTGAACAGTCAAAAGAAGAGTGTGAGTACATGATCAATCTTGCCAAGCCTTTCATGGAAAAATCAAGTGTTGTTGATAGTAAGACTGGAAAGAGTACAGAAAGCAGGTTTGTCTTTGCTTGTGTTTTTTGTACTGATTCCAATAATTGTAGATCATATTTTTGAGAATAGTGTCTAGTGGTAATGCATTACTCTAGATTTATCCCTTGTTTGTAGGGTTCGAACTAGTTCAGGAATGTTTTTGAAGAGAGGAAAGGACAAAACTATCCAGAATATTGAAAAAAGGATTGCGGACTTTACCTTTATACCAGTAGGTACGAGTTTTTGTGTGATACCTATGTCTACCTGCTTGTCTCTTTCCCTTAGTTTCTTGGCCTTTTTGTATATATTGAAGTAGTGGGCAAAATGCTTCAAACTTGTTACATATAAAACTTATTCAAGATCCTCTTAAGAACTTAGTGAGAAACATTGGATAAATTGTTCTTTCTAATTAAGTGATAGTCTATCTCAATGTGCTAATGTCGGTAGTTGGTCCTCTCGGGAAACAGTAAATTTAAGGTGATGTGGAATGCAACTTGATTGTCACAAATGAGTGTCTTTTTTCATGATCCTCCCAAATCTAAACTCTTGAAATTTGTATGCAGCGACATGATTGATTGCTTGATATTTGTTCTCATTCACTGTTGTTTACTTTTAAATATGCAGAGAATGGAGAAGGACTTCAGGTTCTTCACTATGGAGTTGGGGAGAAATATGAGCCTCATTATGATTACTTTCTTGATGAGTTCAACACTAAGAATGGAGGCCAACGAGTTGCTACAGTTCTTATGTATCTGTAAACTCTATTCACTTTCCATATATTGTTTTTTTAGCGTGCTTTGTGATGTACCTGTATACAAACTTGACAGCTCCCTGTTTTTGTTCTTTATGCAGGTCTGACGTTGAAGAAGGTGGTGAGACTGTATTTCCTGCTGCTAAGGCCAACTTTAGCGCTGTGCCATGGTGGAATGATTTATCTGAATGTGCTAGAAAGGGTCTATCAGTGAAACCAAAAATGGGTGATGCTCTGCTGTTTTGGAGCATGAGGCCAGATGCCTCACTAGATGCATCTAGTTTACATGGTTAGAAACTAGTAAAAACTGTAACTGGTTCAGCTGTAAATATTACTTATTAGTATAGGCTTATCAAGTTAAGACTTCAGAGTGATCCATTTTGATCGCATTGAATCCAGTGTTATCGAATATCGGCCACGGCGGATATCAATGGCGGTTTTTGGGTTCGCCGCAACGATAAATATTGGCTGATATTGCGGGTTTTTCCGCCATTATCTGCTATGATTGCGCCACAAAGTGGCTGGTATGAAAGGATTTTGGCTCTGTGCCATGAAACGCCATCTACCATTGACAACACTGCCTGAATCATAAGAAGTGTTTCTACATTTAGGTTTTGACGGTCCTCATATATACTGCTGATGTTTAATCGTATACATCCATGCTCTATTTCCACCTCTCCCGTAAAATTTTATAGAGTATGATGGACCTTATGTTGAAAATATTATAGTCATGTCATTCAAACTCATTACATTCCATTCCATTGGATATTATGATTGATTAAGTTAATTAATTTATCTTTGCTTTCAGGTGGTTGCCCAGTAATTAGAGGAAATAAATGGTCTTCAACTAAGTGGATGCATCTTGAGGAGTACAAAGTTTAAGGCTTGGCTTGTGCAGGTACTTTTAGAGACTAAAGACGAATTATTCTTCTACTTAAATAGGGGTCAGAATTTTAATGATCATTTATAAAATAATAAGTGAAAAGTTTGTGCCTAATATCTCAATTATCAGTTATGTGTTGTCTAGATATATAGGATTGAGCAGGAGGATGGATATACTGGGGTTTATTGTATTCTGATGATTTTTTATTTAGAAACTGCTTTAGGGATAGAAGAAAAAGAACTTGATAAGTTTGTTTTGAGAGCATGTTCTTAAAGTGGAGAGGTGGTGGACAATCACATCGGTAGCGGAGATTATGTTGGTGATGATAGCGATGGTGCCACGCTGCAGTGGCGGTGATGGTATCGGTGTCGTCGACCATTGAATTAGTCTTGTAACAGGAAATTAATGTGTTGGGCGCTTCACCGAATCACATTTATGTAAAATTAGTTATAGCATATATAAGCTTTGTACAAAAATGAGCTCAAAACGCATTCCGTTTTATTTTCCCATAATCAAACCATTTTTGCATTTGTTGTGTAAGCATCCATCTCATCCATCCACACTCTAAACACTGTTCTGCATTTAATTTGCAGATTTTGCTACAAAAATAAATTCTGTAACTTAAGGAAATATATGGCTCGGTGACTTTGAATGTATAAATGAGAGGTAATAGTTGAGTAAAATGAGCAAGGCTGGGATTACCACTAAGGGTTCAAAATTTATTACAATTAAACTGGGTTAAGTAGGGTGTTGTAAAATATTTGTTTAAATTGCGGGAAAATAAAATTTCTGTTGGTTTTGCGATAGTTAACATTTGAGTAACTTATACAGCGCTTCCAAAATCTTGAAGTTCGAAAAAAAAAAGTAGTTAAAGGACGAGAGGGAAGAGTTAATGAAGAGAATGATGGAGAGAAAAATAAGTGACTTTTCTCACCTAAATGTTAGAAGAACTCTTTACCTAATAATAGGATAGTGTGGATAATAGGAGTACATAGAAAACGGAAAAAAGAAATATGATATATGTTTTACTTGTTTTATTTGTACTTGTAAAGAAAAGTGGCAATGGAAGCACTCTCTATTGACTTGTTAGCAATTTTCCCTTAATAAAATTGTATTCAATCAAACTGAGTGTTCTTTTTTTATTTACAAATTAGTTCCGAGACATCTATCGACATTTTTAATGGTTATTGGAAAACAAATAAATATATAATTAATTGAAAAAAATATTTTGATCAGTAATTTCATGTTCTCGTTAATATTTAATAATTTGATCAGTAACTTCATGTTTTCGTTGTTATTTAATATTTTGATTAATAATTTCATGTTTATGTTAATATTCAATAATTTGATCAGTAATTTTTTCTGTTAATATTTAATATTTTGATCAGTAACTTCACGTTCTCGTTAATATTCAAAATTTTGATCAGTAACTTCATGTTTCAATTAATATTTAATATTTTGATCAGTAATTTAATGTTCTCCTTAATATTTAATATTTTGATCAGTAATTTCATATTTCCGTTAATATTTAATATTTCGATCAATAATTTCATGTTTCCGTTAATCTTGAAAAAATTTGATGAATAACTATTCTGGATTGGACTGAAACTTGACTCACCCTTGAATAGTCTCAATCCAACCTCTCTGAGGCCTAATAGCATTCAACCCAAGTTGACAACAGTTGGAAATTTCTCCACATGTAAGGGTGTACATGATTATCAAATTACAAGAACTAATCCATTTAATTGATTTTGATTTAAAAATCAAACTATATTTAATAAAAACAAATTTGAAAATGTAAAATAGTTTCAATTCCGTTAAAAATTAATTCAAATGGTTTAAACTGGTTTGTAACTAAATTGTGTTAGTTTATTAATAGAATTTCTTGATATTCTGTAGCTTAATGTTGTTATATAGCGTGTCACATTTCTTCTAATTGCACAAACAATTAAGTACACGAGATAATTTGTTTCACATTTTATTGTATTTCCTTTTATAAATAAATGCTACGTGAAATAATTATAAAAGCGAAATGTTTCTTTTTGAAGTTATTGACTTTGTTCCGTCGTTATAATAATACTCTAATTGATATGGCTTCTAAAAAAAGTATTTGTTCTTTTTAGATATTTTGATCTCTTATTAATTTATCAAAATTGACATTTTAGTAATATTTGACAATCTAGTCTCTTAAATTACAAACGTTAGAGATTAAACTATTTAGTGTTTATAACACTGTGAACTAACCCTCTGTTTCATAATAACTATTTTATTTGAATTCTGCGTGATTTAAAAAAATAAATTAGATGGGTTGATTTTAATAATAAAATTAATATTATTTATTAAAACATCTTTATTTATTATAATTAGTGAAGTAGTTGAAAAATGTGAAAGTTAATAAATATGAGTATAGTAGTGAAAAAAATAATAAATATTGTATTAATATTCTAAAGAAATATTTATTTTGAGACATAAAAAAATGTAAATAAGACACTTATTATAAGACGGAGAGAGTATGAAGTATGAACACGTCGAAAAAGACTTGGAAAATGACACAGTGATATCAACAACAATTAATTTTTTTTTTATAAATATCAATACAATTGTCTGATATCGACACAATGACGTCTTTTTTTAGAAGTGTCGATGTTATATAATTATAAAATAAGGAATCAAAATACAATAAAAAAAGTTAAAAGACCAAATTAATTTACTAAAATAAAACAAAAATTTGAAGAGAACAAAGAAAAAATTATAATTAAATTAAAGGACAAAAATAAAATTATAAGGATGTAATTTTTAACAAATGAAAAAAGAGTTTAAAAAAATAGTACATTAGCAATATAAAATAATTTTACAATGTTATTTAATAAAAAATTATCATTTATTTATATCATAATTTATTTAATAATAACCGTATGACTTATCACTTAACATAATTGTGATTGATTGATAATGTAAAATTATTTTACTTTATCAGTGTATATTTTTTTTCTCATAAAAAAATATAGTTGAGTTAAAATATTATTTAGAAATTAAAAATATATTTAATTTAATTAATTAAATAAATATATTAAACAAGAGAAATATAATGTTGGAGTAGTTAATTTTTTAAACTATATGACCTTGAATGAGAGAACACAGTACAACGTGAATGTGACAAATCATTTGTAAGAATGGAATGAAGTAGCTTTAAGACAATGTAATATTCACTATTCATTAAAATTATGGTTTTACGTATCCCCATTGGTTTTGAAAAATGGATCCCGGTTATTAGTTTTGATCACCATTGGTTTTGAAAAATGGATCCCGGTTATTAGTTTTGGTGACAAAATGGAATGGGGTAAGTTTTCTTCTAACAAAAATTAGATTTTTAAAAGTGGTGCACTGAATTTTTAAAATTGGTTCTTATAAATTAGTTTTTTTGCACACTCATACCCACGTGCCTTTTAGGTAAACCTGACCAACAATTATCAAAAATCACCACCATTCTTCCCATCGAGAATAACGAGTCCAACTTCTCTACTATTTCGAGGCAGTTGATTAGGGAGGAGACCACATCCTAGACTCCATACACACGTAACTATGGCCGTATACGTTATTGAGCCTAACTATTTGACCCGATGCGTAGATCTTGGCCTAGCGATGAGGGCTATAAATACCCTCTCACATGTGAGGGCCAGATATTCACTTTTACATACTTTCATTACTTGCACTTACTTTGAACCTTACTTTGACATCAGAGTGTCTTGCAGGTACCCCTACTTCACTTCAACAATTATCCAACTTCAGCTTGCAGGCCATCGACGATCCATTTTGGTCAAGTACGATCAGTGGCACCGTTTGTGGGAAATTGTTTTCCCATCTTTTATTAACTGAAGATCAAAGCAATCTTTCAATTTTTTGATCGTCATGGTCGCTCCAGTCAACAATGAAGATCATAATGTTCACTTTTCCGAGTTCGGCACCAACAACAACGGCAACCTTGTCGTCCACACACTCGATGTTAGGGACATAAGAACCACTTACTCCTCCACTCAACCCATCTGCTCGACCAACTTCGCCGACAAAACTACGAACCTGCAGCGTACGAGGAAATCTCCGTGCCCGAGAATGCCGACCCTACGACCAAGGCCATGTTCGCGGCGATCAACAGGACTAATTACATGATCTTTGCACAAGGCTTGGATTGCTGGAAACCCGCAGGTCTCTGAGAAGACACGGGAGGCCTGACTCATGCACCCCATCTTCTCGAAGACAGGAGCCCTGTTCGCGCTCTCCTCCACAGAGACACCAGTGGGGAGATTCTCGCAGTCTTTCTCCACTTCGTACTAGGCGACACCCCCAACTGGAGAGGACCTAACATGAAATCATCAAGAAGCACGACCACACTCCTCTGCGCAAAGAACGACGTTCCCTAACTCCTAAAAGGGACAAGGGGAAAGAAGAGAAGAAAACTCGGCCCATGCGTCCTCCTCGACATAGAAGACACTGTTATAAATTCTCCCCGTCCCGATCCTCCGAACGAAGTGAAGAAGAAGAGGAACATGACCCCCGTGGTCCACTATCCCAAGTCATTATAGAGGCTCATATCCCTAAGGGAATGGAGAAACCTCCACTCTGAACAGCTACAACGACTCTACAGATCCTGATGACACGTTGTAATACGACGGGAGAACTGACTTGTTTTGCGCTTTATCGTAAATGTTGCGGATAGCAAGAGTCTCCACCGACTTTTCTTTTATCCAATAAGGAAAGGGTGAAAAGAACAGGAAAGACCTTTGAGATTTTTGATTTTGGGGGTAGGTTAAGAAAAGGGAAGGTGTTAGCACCCTTTTCATCCGTAGTTATCTACGGGCTCTTAATCGCTAGCTCATTGTTGCACCCCAAAATTTGCCCTCTTTGCTTTAACTTTATATTGACTTATACTATGTTTGCATATACACATGCATGCATATCATTGGTTCTGTGTTCACGGAGTCAAGGTATTTGATCAACATAACAAAGCTCTCATAATTTTTCAACGCATGTTTGATTTGTGGAAGATTTGAGTGTTATAGGTAAATTTAAAACAATGCGAATTGGAAGCAATATTTTGACTGATCTGAGTTTGAAAATTCGCATCTCCAGCTTGGAATGGTGTTTTGGGTTGATTCTCGAGGTTTTGAAACTGTCTCGATGTTCTATTCAATTTTTGTGTTCAAACCAAAAGCTAATTCTCAAAGGAAAGTCTCCGAATGCGCGGTTCTTTTGAAAGTTATATGGTGAAAAATACAAAGAAAAGGTGCTGAAAGTGCACTTTTGACGCACTAAAAAATTCATAACTCGAAGACCATTCATTGTTTTGAATCTGTTCTGGTGGCTAAAATTCCGTCTTGATAT